GGTGACAACAAACTTTTCGTTTTTGTCATCAATTTACCTTGCAGTACAGGGAGATATTAATATTGATTTTTATGAATATGTTTTTGACTTGATTTTATTTAAAGTAAATTTTCCATAAGTAACTTTAAAGAAACATCATCCGATAACGAGGATAAATGCACTGATCCGAAGAGTTTTTTTTATCAAATAAACTTCAACAAAACCAAAATTCGTAATAAACTGGAAACCACCATATTAAGTTGCATTTTTTATATAAAGAATTATTTAAAAAGTTTGTTCGTGAGTGAGAGTTAAATGAGAACAAGTATTTATGAAAATACTTTAAAAGTATGTTCACATTTAAATATTATTTCAATCAAAGCTCGTTTTTTAATTACCCCGTTTACACAGGCAAATCTCAGATTATTAGCCGTCAATTTTTTTGTGCTTGTTATTCTCACATCTTAAGAAAAGGTTATGTTTCGTCTCTGTGCCACCGTGATCACTTTTTTCTGCTATATAAAGCAATTTAAATATGTTTTAACTTAATATTTTATTAAAAATACCTTTACAAACCTCTTTTACTTGCTAGCGTCCATTTTTGTTTACTTTTACATTTGGCATTTTCCCTCTACTTCGCAAATATAATCGATAAAAGCCGACACCGAAAAGTTATCGGCTAAATCTGTGATTATTTTATAATTACAGATTAAGAAGGGACGAATTTTGTATGGCTAATCTCTTTTTCTAATTACAGATTAGGGAGTTAAGCTCGAAAATGAGGATAATCTACTTATATGTGAACCTAGTATAAAAGTTAAACTTACAAGATTAATTTAAAACGTATACATTCTATAATCGATTAAGCCTATTAATCGAAAGCCAGTTAATTAACGTGTGTCAAGTTAGCACTACACTTTTCGAAATTGGAAAAGTTAACTACGGCATTAATTGTAGTGTTTTTGTTGTAAATTTGTTGTGGAAAGAAAAAATTTGTAGCTCTCGTTTTTTAAGAAAAAATGGTATGTAGTGCTAACTTGACACCATACACCTAGCCGATAGAACTGAGATATTGAAAATGTTATAACGGCATTAACTGTAGCTTTTAACTTTAAAATTTGTTGTGGAAAGATAAAATTTGTAGCTCTCGTTTTTTAAGAAAAAATGGTATGTAGTGCTAACTTGACACCATACACCTAGTCGATAGAATTGTGATATCCAATATGTTACTATGCCATTAATTGTAGCTTTTAACTTTAAAATTTGTTGTGGAAAGAAAAAATTTGTAGCTTTCGATTTTCTGGAAAAAATTAAGTTGACCCTTTTTCGAACAAAATTTAGTATGTACTGCTAACTTGACACCATGCCCCATTGACGACAGAATTGAGATATTGAAAATGTTATAACGGCATTAATTATAGCTTTTAACTTTAAAATTTGTTGTGGAAAGAAAAAATTTGTAGCTCTCGTTTTTTAAGAAAAAATGGTATGTAGTACTAACTTGACACCATACACCTAGTCGATAGAATTGAGATATCCAATATGTTACTATGCCATTAACTGTAGCTTTGAACTTTAAAATTTGTCGTGGAAAGAAAAAATTTGTAGCTTTCGTTTTTCTCGAAAAAATTGAGTTGGCCCTTTTTCGAACAAAATTTAGTATGTAGTGCTAACTTGACACCATGCCCCATTGACGACAGAATTGAGATATTGAAAATGTTACAACGGCATTCATTGTAGCTTTTTTGTTGTAAATTTGTTGTGGAAAGAAAAAATTTTTAGCTTTCGTTTTTTAAGAAAAAATGGTATGTACTGCTAACTTGACACCATGCACCATTGACGACTGAATTTAGATATTGAAAATGTTATAACGGCATTAATTGTAGCTTTTAACTTTAAAATTTGTTGTGGAAAGAAAAAATTTGTAGCTATCGTTTTTCTGGAAAAAATTGAGTTGACCCTTTTTCGAACAAAATTTAGTATGTAGTGCTAACTTGACACCATGCCCCATTGACGACAGAATTGAGATATTGAAAATGTTATAACGGCAGTTAGCACTACATACCATTTTTTCTTAAAAAACAAGAGCTACACATTTTTTCTTTCCCCAACAAATTTTAAAGTTAAAAGCTACAATTAATGCCGTTATAACATTTTCAATATCTCAATTCTATCGGCTAGGTGTATGGTGTCAAGTTAGCACTACATACCATTTTTTCTTAAAAAACGAGAGCTACAAATTTTTTCTTTCCACAACAAATTTACAACAAAAACACTACAATTAATGCCGTAGTTAACTTTTCCAAATTCGAAAAGTGTAGTGCTAACTTGACACACGTAGTTAATTAATTAATTAAAGAATAATTATTTTTGATTTATCAAAATGATTAGTTTTCCGATTAATTACATATTGATTAATGAGAATCTAATTAATTTGATTAATCATAAAACTGATTTATCATAACCTGATTAATCAGAAATCTGAGTAATTGCTGTTATATTTTGTTAAACATACATACATACATATGTATGTATACAAATATATGGGTGCCAATTCTCCATTTTAAGGAGCTACATACATATGCACATATTTACATCGTATATACTAATACTACGTACTTGTTTGGCATTTTATTTCTATTAATAAGAGCAATATTGAATGTGTATACGAATGTACATATTTGTAAATACAAACATACATACACTGAGGAGCAGAACCGGAACAGTAATACATAATGTGAATTTTCTTGCAATATATTCGCAATATATGAAGACTTTTTTGTAATCTAATTTCGGAATTCACATTTTCAATGTTTATTTCATCAGAAGGCCTTAAAAACAATAATTAACACAATCAGATAAAGAAAAAAATTGCAAAAAAAACGTAGCAACTAGATTGTTCCAGTTTTGCACCCGACAGAAAATTTTACCATTTGCTTGTCTTTTAATAAGTTGGCCATATCCAATTTGAATATTTTAGCTTTTATGGTTATCTTGGGATACTTTCGCACAGGTTTTAGACGAAATCTATTGAGAACGCGCACCGATTTTCCTCAACGCCATGTCCAAGGTCTTGCATGCGATTGGGCGAATTTTCGCAATTGAACAGTGGCATTTTCAAACAATTCCATAAGTTTTCTGTTGAATCAATTGTGGGCTTTACGCAGGTCACTCCATGATTATAAAAACTTGGGATTTATACATATTTGGCCCCAGTTTCGGAGGATATTTCTGATCATTGTCCTGTTAAAATTGATAAAAGCCTGCGAAAACATTCCTCAGAAATTGCCAAATTCTTTGAAAATGCTCATTTGTTGTCACTTTTCTTTTTACCGTCGATTTTACCATAGTTCTTACTCCCTAAGGCGTAACACGGCCCTACATCATTAAATGTACACATACAAACCTAATAGTTTAAATATTTTGGGACGTTAGGCGTATCCCTGATGCAGGTGCACAGCACTTGAACCAATATTCCGACTTAAAACGTTTCATTTTAACCTCAGAGTTAACAAATTTAGGGCCGTGCCCTAATTAATAGTAAATTGTGGTGGAATAAAGTAGTCGTTTATGAAGAACTTGTAAATTCGCGCTTCAAAATAATACCAATCCAATGTTTTCTCTTGGTAAAAATGTGTTTCTGACTAAAAATTTTTCTGGATGTCAAAGCAGGCTTTCTCTTCTTTATCTTTGTGCTGCAATAACTTGTTCCCATGTCTTTCATAATGTCCAGTCACTTGCTTTGTGGTGATAAAACAGTAATTTTTGATTTGGAACCAAAGTTTATTGGCATTTAGAGACCCTCCAATTAGCCTAGCCTGGCAAAATGCAATTTTTTGTGGTCTCTCGATCTTGCAGACTGTGGTCCGCCCTTTATCGCTTGTTTAGATAACCATAAAACGGAAATTTGGCCGATATGATTTCATTCTTTACAGCGTGGCCTTTCTGACCGTTTTGCAAAATCTTTAAGTTCTTTTTGCTTGGTATGTGCACTTAATGCACTCACAGCGGAAATTCCACGCGCCTTGATTACAAAATTGCAGGAAATGAGCCAGAACTCCTCTTTGAATTATAAAATTCAGCAATTATTAAGAGGGTGCAAAACTGGAACAATCCAGTTGATTTTTGTTTGGTCATTTTTTTCTGAGTTTCCATATGCGAATCTTAAAATTTTTATGGTCAAACGATTAGTTAAACATCGGTAAGGCGAAATGCAAGCTTGAATTACTATAAAGTAAATAAACTGAAGAAGTACATTACCACAAACTTAACTTTCCGTTCTATTGTTCAAGTTTTGCTCTTCAGTGTATATACTTGACGTAACTTAGCTCTTTTCTCAGTGTAGTTATAAAAATATATGTATAACTAATTGTATGCTTTGTGAACTAGTCAATTAAAACTGTTATAAATTCACAAACTTGTAATTTTGGGTTTTTAAATAAAATGTGTTATGGTCTTGTATAACAAAAAAAAAATTATAAAAACCTTGAAGTTTTTTTTTTTTTGTAAAAAAGTCTTCAGTAAAGTTATTTCTAGAGAAATGAGTTTATTTTCCTGTTTCAGTAACGTTTTTATGGGTTTTTGAAGATTTTATCATCACTTGGACGATTTTTAACAAAATTTTTTTGGCAACACTGTCGTACTGTATTAGAAGGAATTGAGTTCGTAAATAACAACAGTTACTATCTTGTATAAGGAAAAACCAAGGCGAATTTATACAAGGTGGTAGCAAAAATACAAAAACAACAAGCACATTATTTTGTATCACGGGTGTTATGTCAAATCTCAATTCGTCCCAAAGTTTCCATGTATTTTGTTTTTGCTTCTGATGGTCTAAAAGCAAAACAAAATACATGTAAGGCGAAGAAATCAGCTGATTGAACTACACCACCTTGTATGAATTTGCCTTGAGGAAAAATAAAACTCTATATACAGAATTGCAAAAGTACCTTCGACTCTAGCTCAAGCACTCTTTGCACCACCTTCTCCTTTCTTTCAATTTTGTGTGTCTCCAAACTCACCTCTATATCAAAATCGCGGTGTTGTTCCACGCCACCATCGTCGCCAGCACCACAGCCATTCACATCTCCCGCCTCACTGATAGCATCTGAACTACTCATAACAATACCACTACTAAGCATTTCGTCCTCTTCAATGTCCTCCTCAACAAACATATTATCGACAATGGTGTCGTCTAACTCTTGCTCTTCCAAATCGGACGTCTCCTCAATTTCTGATTGGCTATCTAATTCGATATCGGAGTCACCTGAGCTACCATGTTTCATTTCGCCTCGCTCTAATGCATCCAGATGTTCTGGATGTACCATAGCATTTCGAATACCCATCGGATCTTTACGCGACCATTTTTGCACCTCTTCTTCCATTTTTACAATGCGTTCTGGATTCATGGCCCAGAGACAGCCTTTACGTTGGTTTCCGTTTGTCGCGGGTTTTTCAATCTTCTCAAAGCACTTGTTAAGCGAGAGATTATGACGTACACTATTCTTCCAGCCACTCGGCGCTGTCTGGAAGTACGGGAAATGCTCGCACATAAAGCTATATATTTCAGATACAGGCAGTGACCCACTGCGCGAGTTCTTTAATGCCATTGCTATTAGGCATGAATACGAATATGCTGGTTTCGGGAACTCAGATTCTATAGGTGCAATTTTAATTCGTTGTTGCAGAGGCTTAACGGAAATTGTTGTGATAGTAGTGGTGCTGGCAGAGGATGGTGATGAAATAGCGGACCCATTGTTGATACTGATTGGTATGAGGCCAGCACTGAAACTACCATTAGTCGAACTAGTCGATGGTGAGGAGTGCGACGAGGATGAGGAAGATGACGGTGAACCTATTGCGTTGCTGCCATTCTGCATAAGCGGTGAATGCACCGATGCTATGCTCTTTGGTGTGAAACTAGAACTTTGCGCACTTCGGTTTACTAATTTTGTAACATGCTGAGCGCCTGCAACTAGGCTACCGTTTGCATTCACAACACTTATACTTTGCAACGGACTGGAGTCACGTTCCCTCTTAAGTATAATTGTGCCATTTGTAGTAGCAGTTTGGCTGTTATGCGCAGATTTTGCAGCAGATTGTTGTTTCAGCTTATTATAGGCGATACTGTTGGCAAATGTTAGCCCACCAATACCGGGCGCCAGTTTGATGGTGTTCGTTGTGGTGCTATTCAGCATGCCATTTGCATTGAGCAAACCACTGCCGATATTATTTTTCGCTTTACTAACATTGCTAGTAGGGGCACTTCCATTAGAGGTAATGCTAACAGTTCCCCTCGCATTATTACTTGTACTACTGACTTTAATTTCATCAGTAGTTGCAGTAACTTTGCGCATTTCTGTAGCCAAATCTTTTTTGATTGTCTCCACCGCAGTTAATAAGTTCTTACGCTGCAGTGCTGAGTTCGTCGCCAGTGTGGCCGGCGCTGTAGTGGCCGCTGTCACCGTCGAGGAAATCGCCACTATCTGCTTTGGTATGTGTGAATAAAGCTGCTCGTTGCGCATCGCTCCGGCGCTAACTTTTAACTGGGCAGGAGAGAATGTTAAATGAGATTTAGTTTCGTTCACATTAGGCGAGGCGGGCGGAGGCGAATACACAGAGCCTTGTAAACTATTCGCATTTAAATTTATTTTTGGCGACCTATGCAGCAACGACGAAGATATCAGTGGCATTACTGAAATGGGATCCACACAAGCGCCTACATCAACGTAGTAGTCGTTCGACGACGACCATGATGGCCCTGAGCTATTCCCTAGCCAAGAGGAAAAGCCTGTACTCAGACCGCCATTAAGAACATGACTACTGTGTAAGGATGAAATTGCGTCAATGGCGTGATCATAAGAGGACGGCAAATCGTTGACCATAGAAGCAAGTTCATTGCTACCGCCAACTACATTGGAGATCTCGCTTCGTATATCAATATCGAGCATATCTTGCAACGAGTCTGATGTGTATAGGTCCAATGTAGGCCGCGACGTATCCTAGAAAGCAGAAAAATATAAACACATTACATTTAATTGGTTTAGATGTACTACATTTATAAATCTACATATATAACATAAATGTATGTATATATACATATACATATTCATAAGAGTGGTTCAAACAAAATTTTTTTTAGTAAATTCATAAACGCCTTGGGCAGTAAGAATGGGCCTAGTGCCCGAAAATATGCTCTCGAAAAGAGACTAGTAAAACTAAAACGTTGATACTGAACGACTTACGCGTTGTCATGGGTAGGAACTTGTTACCAGGGGGTTTCTGGTGTAGCTAATTTGAATTTTGAAGTCAGTTTTTCAAAAATCAAAATGGCGGATCCAAAATGGCGATCTATTTTTTTTTAATGGTTGGATTTGTTCAAAAACCGGCATTCGAGAGTTTTTGGGGTCGCCGATTACGAATCTGAAGTCAATTTTTTTTTTTTTTAAATGGCGGACCCAATATGGCTGTCAAATTAAAAAAAAAAAAAATACTTAAATTAAAACGATGATACTGAACGTTTTAAACATTGTCAAGGGTTGAAACTCGTTTTCAGTGGGTTTCTGGGGTTACGAATTTGATGTCAGATTTTCAAAATCAAAATGGCGGTTAAGAGTTTCAAACAAATCCAATCTTTTTTTTTAAGTTGGTCGCCATTTTGGATCCACCATTTTGAATTTTGAAAATCTGACATCAGATTCCTAATTAGCAACCCCAGAACCCCCTGGTAACAAGTTTCAACCCATGACAACGCGTAAGTCGTTCAGTATCAACGTTTTAACTTTACTAGATTCTTTTCGAAAGCATATTTTCGTGCACTAGGCCCTTTCTGGAGTGCAATGGAGTATAGTCGTTGGGAGTGCAATGGGGTATAGTCGTTGCGCTGGGTATGCAGTTACAGTTACATGGCTATACTCAATCCCGACTCTTGCGTCCTCGTTCGCACACTCTGGGCAACGTGAGCAACCCACGTCCGAGATGCGGTAACCAATCCGAGTGGAGCCTTGGGTCAAGGCAGAAAAAGAGGAAGCTTCGGTGGGACCACTCCGACTTATTCGGTTTAAGGGCTCATTGAAGTCTGCGGCGTCTGTTCACCAGTAGGTGCGGCTGCAAGCGGGTGTCTGCTTGGAGCAAGCGGCTCGCTATATAAACGTGTATTTGGTTGCGAAACCACCCCC